GCAGGCCTCGTGTAGACACCTGTTAACACTGGAGTTGGTATCTGGGCTACAGTCTTCACGTATTGCAGATGAGTGAAAAATTAATTTTAAATTTAAGATATTTTGAAGGTAATCACTCTGCCCACAGCACGATTTGTGTCGTGCTGAAAGTTGCAAGGGTGCTGGCGAGGCTCTGGTCGGCACAGCACCCTGCGGCAGGGCCTGCCAGCTTTTTCCACAGACAACAGCACCAGTTGTTGTCTTGCCATGTTCCAACCTGCACTTCACCAGAAGGCATAAGGCATTTGAAAGGAGAAGATATCAGATGAGAAGCAGCACGGACTGCTGCGTCACTGTGGTTCACTTCTGTGGTGTATAAATGCTAGGTTCCTGCAAAACGGTGCGGGATTTCTGAAGTTCCAGACAGTTGTTTTGAACATGTATAGCAAAATCCATTTTATAAGTAAAAGGTCTTTTGTAGAAATTTCAGCTGCTAAGTAGTCTGGAACATCTAATGAGATCAGGCTTTTATGTCTTTCCTAGTAACTCTGCCTGTAAAGCATCTAAGAGTCTTCGATTGTTGCACACAGAAACGATTCACAGGAAGAGAAGAGTGTCCACTGTCGTGGATTACAAGAATCATAGGCTATATTTTTATCAATTAAATCTGAATAAAATGGCTGTTAAAAAAAGGAAAAGTAGTATTTCATAACAGAGTTTCTATTAAACTACTAGCAGTATTATGAGACGTGCACCAAGGTATGAATAAAGCATTGGTGCTAGGTGCTGTGTAGACACTTGTCTGAACGTAGAGCGAACATCTGGCAGTACATGAACAATGTACAGTGCCTCTATGAGTTGCCTGGACTGGTGTTTTCTGTAATTTTCTTTATGCTTTCTAAAATAATGTAGGAATCTCTCTGTGGCATCTTCCTTCTTACTGAGGAAGTCAGGAGTTGAATGGGCTCTGTGTCAGCTGTTCAAATTCCTGTCTAACACAGGTTTATTCATTCTCTTCGTATAAACTCAGTTACTATATTGATCCCACTTACAACAGTGTACTTCCATGTCAGGTAACTTATTGATTTGCTCAGGCATGAGATAAATAGACTTTTATCTAGACTATGGCAGATGTCTGAGCAGTATAGCTGCTTTGTTTGGTGTAAACATAATATTTGGGTCTGAAATGCTATGATGCCTTTCCATCTCTAGTACCATTATTTTTGTTTCAGGCTCTGATGTAATAAACAGCTCTGAGGGGAAATACAGCTGTCCTTACTTTCTCATTTTAAAATATTGATCTTTTGTTTTAAAAGCCTGCCTGTCTGTTTTATGATTACTCACAAGTGCACAGCATATTCTTTTCATTTGGAATTTTTTTTTAACCTGCAACTGCTACTTTGGCATGTTCCTGCCTTTCAGGATTCGTCGTTATTGGTTTGTGTGGTCTGTAGAACAAAAATTCTCATAGAAGCTGAAAGGGGTTGCAGTGTTAGGTGAATGAAAGGATTTTTTTTTTTTTCAAATGTGTTACTCAGAATGTATAATTCTTGCTGGTTTTCAATTTTAAGAAATTCCTTTAAATTGAGGATGAGAGTCTGTGATAACTGCCTTTCATCCACTATGGAGAGATTGGTGACTTTCAGAAATAGTAGGTCATGGGGTGTGTATAAATATCTTTTAGAAGTCATAACTATACTTAGCAATATGTATAAACTTTAAACATAAAATTTAAAATCCAGTAGTACTGCATTTTAATAATTTAAAGTATAAAGCTTTACATTGGCCTTTAAATCTGAATTCCTTTGTTTTCTCTAGATGTTTAAATTCATAATATGGTTTTTATTTTTAGACAGTAGCATCTGTTTTTGCAATTTTGGGTGTTTTACCTGTTACCTATGCTTCCTTTGCAATTTACTATATATAAAGCTATTTTGTGTTTCAAATGAAACAGATTTTTGTAGCGTAAAAATTCCCGTGGGTTTGCAGGAATCACCACAAAAGGTTCAAATGGATGGAAACAGAAATAAAGCTTTTTTTCAAGTAATAATGTATTAAGAAATTGTCTTTATACAGGTAAATGGTTGCAGTTTTGTGACAAGAACAGCTATACCTGCAGACTTAATTGGGGTACAGTAGTTCAAATTGAATCATAATACTAATGGTGAATATGAAGAACCTCAGTTTGTTTCAGCAAAAACTGTTGCTGCCTAATACTTTATTTTGCATGCTGTGCTCTGTATACACATTGTTTGTTATATATTATAGTGTAGCGTTAAACTTGAAATGCAAAACAGTTGCTATTTCTATTAAGGCTAAGATTATAAAGCAGATCTTCCAGAAATGCTTTTATTTGAGGTGTGAATTATACTTACAAAGGAGGTTACCATGGCAATAAGATCTTCAATGCTGTATTGTATGTTAATGTACTAAGGGGGTATTTGATACAGAATTTGATATTTGAGTTTGTTGCTGTGATAAAGTATTAAAAAATGGCATGCTAAGGAACTTGGATTGATTTAGGAAGAAGAATTTGGAGTTGGAAAGATTTGTTCTGAGCATGGAACGCGGCACACTCACACGCAGCTAGAGGTGATGAAGAATGAATTGTCTGGGAAACAGCAAGAGATTGAAGAACTAAACAGAGAGCTAGAAGAAATGAGGGCAGCATATGGTACAGAAGGATTGCAACAGGTATAAATACCTTATGTTGCTTTCTACTTGCTACTTGATTACATGCAAAAATTCAGAGCATCACCTGAAAGAGTTCACACTTAATGGCAGCTGTTCGGAGTGCAGTCAGTGTGTGTATAGAACTACACATAACTTCTTTCAATCACATACCATGCACTGTGTTTCTTTCAACGGTGTTTCCATTGTGTGTCCTTTTCCTCTGTATTTTGTGACTAAAATTCCAGTCTTCTTCACAGCGACTTTCTTCAAATCAGGAATGGAAAGACAATTTTCTTCAAGAAAAGCCCCTAATTCTTCTCTAGCTGTGCAAAGACTGCATATCTTTAATACCTTCCTCTGCCTCCAAGATAAGAACAACTCAGGTTTTACTTCCTAAGGAATGATATAACTGAGTTGATCCTTGAACCAGAAAGGTGTTTGTATGTCAGACTTCACAGTCTGAAATACAAGGCAACTGTGTCAGAATGTTTTAATAAACATCAAATAACCTGGGATCACAGGGAAGTGTTTCTTACTTCAGAAATACCGTTGGAATTTAGTTAAGTTTTAAAGTAAAGAATATTAAATACTTTTCCAGTTTAAGCAAGTGATGCAGTGCACTGAAGTCAGTGCTTTGCTGAGCTTCATGTCTTGCTTATCTCTCTTAATTTGGATTCAGGTCACATCATTGTGTTTTTCTATTTTTTGCGGAGTGCTATAGAATACCAAAATTGTTCCAATATTCAGTTGTTTTCACCTTCATTATTACTGCACAATTATAATTTTTTTTGCTTTCGTTTGTGTTTTATCTGTGAAAAGGGATGTCATGTTTTCTGCCAGACTAGAATATTTAAATAGTTGCACTAGAGGAGGCGGTTTATCATTCCTTTGTCTTTTGATGAATCTCTGGTGTTGCATTTTAAGTCAAACTTAGTTTCTAATTACTGTGTCTTGTATCTGTTGTGCTAAATGTAATAGTCATAATTATAGCATAATTAAGAACAGAAGTATAATTTTAGTTTCTCACAATTGTGACTACTGTTAGTTCTTCCAAAAAAAAGGTGAAAGTGAAAATGGTTGCATTATTTTAAATGGCTATGAGTTTTATTTTAAAAAAAGTTAAAAATATATTAAACCAAAACAGGCTGTTGTACAATAATGTTTTAATAGCTGCATCATGTTTTTGTATGATAATGTTACAGTGCATACCATCTCAATTGAGAAATGCATATGGTTTATTTTTCAGAAGAAAGAAAAGAATTGTAAAGGGGGAGTATGGAAGATATGTTGAATGCTTTAGTTCTACCTGTATGTTAAAGAAAAGATTGAATTAAAAAAAATTGAAAATTATCACATAACAGTGTGTGGATCAGAACAGATAAATTTAGTTATTTAATGTCATTGAACAGATGCAAAAGGAAAGGTGTGGCGCTCTTAAGTTGTGTCTGCTCTCTTCCTGATTTTCTCTAGTATAACAAGCATCTAGTATTCCCACTAGATCCTTGTGCTTTTAAAGTAGAGTTCACTGCAGTGCTCTGAAAAAAACTTTAAAAGAATGTCCTCGCATTCTTTGTGTAGTTTGGCTTAAGGGACTTCTGTTTTTTATGTCCCGCTGAATAATGTCCCTGTCCTCTAAATCAGTAAACTTTACCTGGAGGCATTATAATTTTGCTTCAAGAGTCAGCATATAACCTGGAGAACCTTCTCTTTTATTTGTTTGCATTGTAAACAAGACAGTTGCAGAAGGTGACTAATGGGTTAAGAAATGTGCAATACATAGAGGTGAGGCTTCCACTAGCCTTGAATGAGTTCAGGCTGACAGAATGACTTTAAAGTCAGTAACATACCTATTTATGTAATTGCACATGAAGATGGTCCCGATTTAATGTTGTAGAATTTCTGGCTGCCTGAGTGTAAGTAAAAAAATAAAACACACTTGCAAAGGATTTTTTCTGTACTTCTATCATTTCTTCATCATTACAAATTACAAAAGATTTATCTATTAAATACACTGTATCAGTTTTGCAGCTTGAGCTGATTTTCTCATGCAATTATGAATATTTTCCCTGGGTTTGCGATGTAAGATACTGCATGGTGTCTATTACGTGCTTTTAGTATGATGAGTGCAATTTATTGCACTTTCAGTAAGAGATGATATAACTTGCATTTATTGTGGGAAAAGTGTGTGGACGTGAGTAGTTGTAAAACATTGCTGGAACACTGTAAGTAGATACTCTGGCTTCCTTCATGATTTGTTTATGTGGCCATGCTTTTTAGTTTAAAAGCAAGTTAAATATATAACTAATTAACCTTGTTTAAACGTTCAGATTTTGTTCTTTGCTAACTATATTCTATGGAGAGGTCATGTATTGGTAAATCGGGGGGGCGGGGGGGCCGGGATATCTGTTTCTGAAATATCTACAAATCGAGTTTGAAAATGTAGATGTTCCAGTAGGTGTCTCTGACATCTTTTAAATGGAGAGGTTAGGGATGACATATTTTTACCTACCTAGACTAAGATAGTATTTTTTTTTGTCTGTGTCTTTGATGTGCACTAATAGTTTCAATTTTATCTTTTGTAGCTACAAGAATTTGAAGCTGCTATCAAAAAAAGAGATGACATTATCACTCAGCTCACTACTAACCTACAGCAGGCACGGAAAGAAAAGGATGAAACGATGAAGGAATTCTTAGAGCTTACTGAACAAAGTCAAAAACTGCAAATTCAGTTTCAGCATGTAAGTTACAGGGCTGCCAATATTTACTTGGGTTTGAAAATTGCTGTCGCTTTGGAGGTTCCATAAATGACTATTTCCTGCAGAAACAACATTTTTTTGTGTGTGTTTTTGAGGAATTGGCCGCTTAGTGTAGATCAGCAGTCACTTTACTGATCTGACATTATAGTGCCTGGTTTATTGTACTAATTCACTGTAAAAATAATAAAGATTAGTCTGCTTTCTTCCCTAGTATGTGGTGGTAGCTTCTGGTAAAAACTGGATGATGGCAGGGAAAAACACTTGTGTAATTAGTTCTGAGAGCTTTGGGCTGAAATCCAGCCTGTTTCTTTTAAACTCATCAGCTTAGGTAGGCCACTGTTTCGTGCTCCAGTCCTTCTTATGTTTTGAGGTAAAACCTGCCTCTTACTAGAAGGTAATTTAAATAACAAAATTAAGTTTCAGAGAAGCGTTTGTTATAAAAAGCACTGGTGATTGAGGTGCCATGGACACTTAATCTGCATGACTACAGCTTACAGTGTTGCATTGAATATTGTAGTATTTTGTGCTGTTTGAGCACTTTGTATAGCTTTTTATTGAGCTTCAGGTGGATTATATTCTGAAGCCTGAGTGTTTATTACTAAAAATCTGATTTTGGGGACAGTAATTACAATTAGTTCATTTTACTACTTAGAAATGTTTCTGAGAAACTGCTGCCCTGGGCAAGCTCACTATAAAACAGTATTAAATATTTTTTTTTTATTTTGGCCATCCCAAAAGTATAAGGATATTCCAATTCCTCCTGAAAGGACTTATGAAATTTTGCCATAGTCTCTGGGCTTGTGATGTGTAAGAAGAAAGTAAAGATCACTCACTCTGTAGTGCAAGCTGTTTCTGAAAAAACTTGATATATTTTCGGTTTTATTTTTTTAACATTAAAGTTGCAGGCAAGTGAAGCCCTGAGGAACACCAGCCATAGTTGCACAGCTGCTGATTTATTGCAAGCTAAGCAACAGATACTTTCATATCAGCAACAGCTAGAAGAACAAGAATGTCTGCTGAAGGATTATCAAAAAAAGAATGAAGAATTTGAAGTGCAGGTTACGCGTCTTCAAGACAAAATCGCAACATATGAAATGGTATGTTCCTTACTAGAAAGATCTCTTTTCTTAATTGTTTTTTTCTTTTCATGATTTTGTAGTTCCTTTGAAATTTAAGGGCTGAAGCAGAGATTATGAGTGACAAGAGAGAAAGCTTTCACTATATTGCACCAGATATTTTTTTGAAGTATCAGAGCACAACTGGAAAAAATTGAAGTGATTTTTTTTCTTTTCCTTCTTTTTTTATGGGGGTTGATGAGGGGAGCAAGGGGAGGGCAGGGATTGTCACTTATTCCAAAGGTAGAGAAAACCTTCAAATGAGATCAACAAATTATTTAATTTAGTTTTTCTAAATGGTCACTGGCCCCATAAAGAAAGGCATTGTGTTTATATAGCTAGCTCTATAAATGTTATGTGCTCAGATAATGAGCTAAAAATAAGAATATGGTTTTGCTCATTTTTTTTTTTTTTTAAAAGGAAAAACACAAAAATGAGGGAGAAGATTTGGGTAAGCTACAGGAAAAAGAAGCATTAGTTGAAGAGCTGGAAGCAAAACTTGGAGAAGAAGAAAAAAATTCATTTCGTCTTAAGGAAAAATTATCAGATGTCAGTAAATTACTTGAAGTATTGAAAGAACAGATTTCGTTAAAGAACCAGGAAATAAGTAATATGAAAGCTGAACTTAGCACCTACAAACAGAAAGAGAGACAATGCTCTGAAGAAATAAAACAATTAATGGAAACTGTGGAAGAATTGCAGAAACGATGTTATAAAGACAGCCAGTCTGAAGCTGACATTGTGCAAAGGATGGAATTGGAAACTCAAAGGAGACTGGCACAACTTCAGGCTGAATTAGATGAAATGCATGGCCAGCAGATTGTACAAATGAAGCAAGAATTAATTAAGCAACATGCAATGGAAATAGAGCAGCATCTTTCACAACAAAAAGTAGAATTGGAGAAACCCTCAAGTCTGTGTTTGGATGAGGATAATAATGAAGATCGCATGCATTTAATGAATATTAAAATTACTGAATTGAATATGAAATTGCAAGATGCTGACAATGAAAGGGAAAAAATAAAGCAAGAATTGTCACAACAGATGGAAGTAATTTCAGCAGAGAAGTCTCTTCAGCAAACTAAAATTGAAGATCTTTTCCAAGAACTGAATTTTTTAAGAGAGCAGGTTCAAAGAGCCAAACAAACTATAGTGGATATGGAATGTAGATTAAATGAAGCTGAAAAATACCAGTTTGTGATTGAAGATTTAAAAGCTCAGCTGGATTCTGCCTCTGAATTTAGGAAGGAATTGGAATTAAAACATGAAGCAGAAGTCACAAATTACAAAATAAAACTCGAAATGCTAGAAAGGGAGAAGGATGCAGTTTTGGGCAGGATGGCAGAATCTCAGGAAGCAGAATTAGAGCGACTGAGGACAAAGCTTCTGTTCAGTCATGAAGAGGAACTTTCCAGACTTAAAGAGGACTTACAAAAAGAGTACATGGTGAATATGGAAAGCCTTAAAGATAACTTGAATATGCACCATAAACAGCAGTTAGATGAGGTACAAAATGAAATGAGTAAAAAGATAGAAGCGATGCAGTATGAAAAGGACAACTTAATCACAAAGCAAAATCAGTTGATATTAGAGATTTCAAACCTAAAAGATTTACAGCAGTCTGTTGTAAATGCTAAAGCTGAAGAAATGACACTTCAAATCCATGAGCTGCAGAAGGAGATTGAAGTGCTTAGGCAAGAGGAAAAAGAGAAGGGTACCCTTGAACAAGAAATTCAAGAGCTGCAGCTTAAAACTGAGTTGATGCAGGAACAAATGAAGGAGAGAGAAGATGGCCTTCAAAAAAAATGTTTAGAATTTGAAATACAAAATAACCTTCTTAAGGGGGAAAACAAAACTCTGGAAGAGAAGTTAAACAGTATGTTGCTACGCTCTGAAGAAAATGTCATTTTTAACAACAGTGTTAGCTCTAAGTCAGAGATTTTGGACTTGCAAAAAAGAATAGAAGAGCTGATTACTGAAAATGAGCAACTTAAAAACAAAAACAATCAACTCCAAGAGGATACAGAAAGGCAGAAGAGTACCTTTTCATTTACTGAGAAAAAACTTGAAGCTAATTATAAGGAGCTGCAGAAAGAATGTGCAAGTCTTCTAAAGGCAAAAACTGAGTTAGAAGAGAACAAGAATATGCAGGAAGCTGAATATAAAAACAAACTTAAAGCTTTGAATGAAAAACTTCTCCATTTACAAAGCAATAGACAGATTTTATGTAAAACTAAAACTTCTGATTTTGAAGCAAGTAAAGAAATCGACATGTCCAGGGCAGACATGTTTGAGGTTGGAGAAGCTGTCGAGAAATATGCAACAGAACTTATGGAAAAGCTTGAGATTACCCAGCGTGAAAAACTGGAATTATCCCTGAGACTTTCTGATCTCTCTGAACAGTTGAAGTCAAAGCATAGTGAAATTTGTCATTTAAACGAAGAAGTTAAATCCTTAAAAGATGAGAAAGAACAAGTTCTGGCAAAATGTAAGGAACTAGAAGTCATAATTAGCCATGCTCAGAGAGGAAATAGCAATAGTAACGAGCCTAAGAAAAAGCACTCTAAAGGAAAAGCTCCAAAGACTGCTGCTTGGGCATCTGGAAGTAGAAATAAAACCCTTGGTTCAAGGAACAAAGTTGACGAAGGAATGAATGTAAGAGGAAATCTAGGTTCAGATAAAGATATCGGTCATGAGGCAACAAAAGGAAAGGAAGTTCAGCAAATGTTGAAACCAGAACAGTCTCACGTAGAACATTCGCATGGGATGACAGACAAGCTGACAGATGAAACACCGGTAATGGCCATTACACAGACTGAAAATAATAATCTTCAGCAGCAGGTGGATGCACTAAAATCAGAACAGGTATGTTACAGAAAGTAATTTATGTATGAAAACTTGTGGAAGCTTGCACTTGGGAATTTGCATCATATTTTTCCTATTAGCTGCTTTGAAGTACAGGTGCATTGTCATGTGTGTGTGGCGGTGTGACCAGTGGTTGAACGTGGTTATGTGAATGACCAGAATGCTGCCTATAGTCAGGGTATATAGGGATGCTATTTTTCAGTGAAAGAAATACTCTTCCCTTACACTTAATCAAATCAACAAAAACAAAAGGTAAGGAGAAGATGGCTAGAGCACTTCACACTTTGATACAGCATTTAACTAACTTGAGGTGAAAACTTGTTCAGGACATACATTTTTAATCTGTGATTAGCTTTTGAGTTCTCTTAAGTAGTCATTCAAAGAATATAAAGAGATAATGAAACTCTTGACATCTTCATTCACCTTTTATCAAACTTGTAAAATATTAATATTCCATTATCAAAATTTTTGTGTAAATGTGGTTATCACTTCTGTAAGAAATATATCTAGATGCAAGCATGAGAAGATAAATGCGAGAAGATACAGAAATAACGCATATTGTGTGATTCTAATCAATCTCCATGTTTTGTTGGCAAAATTTTGCTTGTATTTTTTGGTAGTGTAAACAAATTGTAGGTAGTATGGAAAGGATTATTTGCCAATAAAAATAATTAAGTATTGAGTTCCCAGTATTTAATTAGGTGCTGGAATCACAAATCTGGCTTTAAATTTATATACAGTGATGAAATTGAGTAGCATGCTGCAAGAAGTGTGCAACTAAGTTTTCTGTAGAAATAGATGTTAACCAGTCTTCTGCTATTCTTTTAGAGTGTTTTCTTTTTTTCACATTCTAGAAATCCACCTAACGGTGAACTACCACCACCATTGCCCAATTTTATGTTGTGCTGTAGTTCATTCATTTCGTAAGAAATAGAATTGCAAGCAAAGCCACGTTGGAAACGGTTGTAAGATTACAGAGCTACAGCTGTATGATGTAATACTTTAATTTTTTTGTGAGGATGTGATATGGGTCTTGCAATTTCCTGCAGTAGAACTAAAAAAATCATTACGGTCCATAGGTGCCTAAAAGCGTTTTCAAACTTGGACCCTAAATAGATCAGTATTGGCATATCCTAGACGTGTTTTTGCTTTAGCAGTGACGTCCCCAAAAATGCAAACTAGGACTACAGGCCTTGGAAGTCAATGCTAATAATAGTCTTTTTTTCTGTATTTGAAGTGAACTCCCTTGACTTCCTCTGTTGGTAGTGATATTGCTCTTGCTTTGTTGGGTAAAACTCATTGGGTTTTTATTGCTGCAAAGTAGGAATTGAAGCAGGTTGAGTTTTGTTGATTTTAGTTTGATTTTTGTTTTAAATTGAAGAAGTGTCATACTATTTTGTTACAATTCAATTTTCTAGACACTGTATATTTAAATTTACCTAATGTATACCATATATGCAGCCTTCCATTCAACACGTTATTAACTTCAGAAATTCACGAAGACATAACTCTTTTTGTTATCTTGTATCTCACTCTCTGCAAAATGTGTCTTTTTATTCAAAGACTGATTTACAGCTACAGATGGAAGCACAGCGCATTTGCCTGCCCCTGGTTTATTCAGCTCATGTAGACCAGGTTTGTAAATATCTGAAAGCCGAAAAAGAGAGTGCACTTTGCCATCTTAAAGAGGAGCTTGTACGTAGTCATCTACAAGAGATGAATGATCTTAAAAAAATGCATCAACTGGAACTCCAGTCCTTGAAAATTCAACAAGCAGGTAACTTGACAAAAATTATGGGAGTAAAGCTCTTGATGTGAAAAAACAGTGTCTTTAAAAGAAAACAACCACAATAGTTTGTGCATGTATCTCTGCAAGAAATTGGGTTTATAGAATATTTGGAATTGGTTTCATACCAAATTATTTACTCATTAAACAAAAGGAATAGGAAGTATTACAACTCATGTTTTGCTATTTGTATTAGGTCAATTAATTGTAAAGAACTCTATAACAGATTCATCTATAAGGTTGTATTCCTTACTGAAATAATAAGCAAATGCATCAGACTGTTTGCCTCTCTGCTCTTTGAATACCTGCATTGACTCACATTAAGCTTCTTTGCTACCACTTTTTGCCTCGGTGGCCATGCTGATTTTTCTATCCCTACTTTTTCTGTCATCCCATGATTCGCCATAGTGTAATTTTTTGGCATAAGTTCTTTGACCTCCGGTATGTTTCTGTAAAGTTTGATCTTTCTAGAGCTCACTAACACACAAGCCATTTCTTATCACTTACTCCTCTTGAACATGCAGTTCCACCATAATAATTGAATCTGTCTGTGTGATGGAATGAAAAACCTATGCCTTTCTAAGAGCTGAAGAGGCAACCTCAACAAGACAGGAAATTAGGCCTTTGAAAAGTTGTTGTGCATCTAGCATTTAAAACTGATACAAATCATTTGTATTCTAGATGATGAAGTCAAATCTACACAGAGACTTATAGAAAAGCTGAATGAAGCTGTAACTGAGGAATGTTCTAGGCTTGCTCAGGTAACAAAAAGCCCTTTTTGAAAATGGAAATTTTGAAAGTGAAAACTTATGTGTACAGTAAGTCATCGTCTTTTTTTCTGCATCTTTTTTAACAGGTTTTCTTTGCATTGATCTCAAAATAGAGTGCTAAAGCTGATCTGCCAAATAACATTGCAAGGGTTTTCGTAGTTTATTTCCTAAACTGTTCTATGTCCTTGTCCAGACAATTCTTCTGTCTTATAGCTCGTCTTAATCTTCTACCTAATATTTGTCTTGTATCTACTAGTTTGGAAGTGTATTTTTTCCTTTCTGTATGTCTCTGGCTATAAGGTTTTGATTTAACAGCAGTCTGATGTCACGCCTATGTTGCCACGCAGGGCGTCACTCTCTCATATCTGTAATAAAATAGTAATTTCTTTCTTAGATGCAACTTATCTTTCAAAGACTTGAAAGTGTCTAAGAATTTATCAAAATGGGTGTATTTAGTTATTGAAAACAATATAAACTGTAGTCAAAAACCAAAGCTTACTTTTAGTCTGTATTCTAATATCAGCCACCAATAATGCTATTTTACTATATCTTTTTTTTGTAGACTACTGGTAACCAATGGCCCTTACATGTACTTTTTGACCAGCAAGTTATTTATTAAACTTATTTCTGGGTAAATTAAGCTACTTTCATCATTCATTATAAGCCATGGTTTTCCAATCTTAAATACTGAAAATGGTTCGTTTTGGTGGTTGGTTGTTGGTATTTTTACCTCCTTTGCTGCACTTTTTTCAACAACTTTTGAGAAAATGGATAGCAGAACTTTTTTACTTGAGAGACAAGATAGAAATTAAGCAGAACTCCAGAAAGTAGCAGCTGAATGAGAGCCTTTGGCCTTAGTTGTTTCAGAGCTGGGAAGAATGCTGCTCTTCTGTATGATTCCATGTTGAGCTTTTGGAGAAATTCTGATTTTTAACTGTAAGTTGAATTTGGTGTCTATCGAGTCCAAAATCTTTAAATAAAGAATCCCACTGTGTGCTCTGGGCAGGCCAAGTTTCTTTTTGAGTATCATTTGTCTTCAGTAACTATATGGCTAAATCTTCTGTTTGCCTACTCACTGTAAATATGTGAGCTATTCTCCTGGCCACATAGCACCAACAGATGTGAGGCATTCTGTTTATGATTTACTTGAGTTTTCTTCTGCCATCCCTTTTAATCTTATTTGTTCAATACTTAAATACCAGATGAATTGTAATCTCTAAAAAGATACAAATTTCTCCCATAGATAATCCTTTTTCCAAGTAAAATTGCAGTTTACAAGAATGAGACATTTACAATGTAGATTTGCTTTTGGTATTAATAAAGGAGACCTCTCTATGCAAGACTTTAATACTCGGCAGTTGTAAATTATATAGCTGTGCCAAAATATATGTATTTATGTTTTAGCTGAAAAGTCTTTCCGTACCTGTTTCTTTTATTAGGCGTTTTAAAGATTGTCTAGATTCTTATGACTCACCTGTGCCATCATTTCTACAGAAGATAATACTCACAAAATACTTCCCTGCCACTATTTTTCTTGTTTTCTTCACTTTTTTTTTCTTTGTTTCATTTGTTGTGAAGGTTTTGCGTGCTGATCAGAATGAGCATTCTTCAGCTGCTATCGAAGTTGGTGATAGGGAACAGGATATTTTCCATAGACCTGCTACTGTGAAAGAAAAACTGAGTGCAGAATTGCTGATACACAGAGGTCAAGCTCAAGGTAATGGCATGGTGCTGTCATTTAAAAAAAAAAAAAAATACTCATTTGAAGTATTTGAAACTGGCAATTATGCCATTAATTGTTCAGATGCTAATTAATGTGCCTAAATAGCTGCTTTAGAGATTTAGTCACTATTCTGAACCACTTTTAAGTATTTTCTTGTGCTGTTTTAATTATATTGGAAATTGGTTAAAAAAGGGTTTGTTCCCCTACCACCTTTTGCAGAAGAAGCTAGCAGCTCTACCAAAAAAATCACATATAGCAGTACTATATAAAAATGCATCCAAAATTTGGAAGAAGTCTCACTTGTTTCAGTAATATGTAATGTTTAGCAGATAATTCTTCAGTGGAGAACTTAGGAACAATTCACTGTATTAAAATTTATGGTAAAATGTTTAATTTTTTTTAAGTCCCTGGTTATGTGTGTAACCTAGCTGTGCAAGAACATATGGATGCTCCTCTACACAAGATAATGGAAGAATACAGTAGGCTGAAAGTACTTCAAACCCAGGTAAACGTTTTATAGCATATGAGTATGTAAGCATTTGAATTTTCTGTTGCGTGAATTCTCTTTGCATGAGCAAAGAATATATTTAAAAGTGTGTTTGCATATCCTGGTTGAGTGTCAGAGAAAGGCAATTATTTGATACAATGGAGAAAGCTGCTACCCATGTCACAGACTTGTGGAAAGGCTGAGGTTAGAAGGCACCTCTGGAGTTGGTCTAATCCAACCCCTTTCACAAAGCAGGGTCATCTAGATGAGGTTGCCCAGGACTGTGTCCAGCCAAATTTTGAATATCGCTAAGGATGGAGACTCCACAAGCCCAGTGCAAACCTTTTCTTCAGGGTATGCATTCCCAGCTCTCTCGGCCTCTCTTTGTAAGACAAGTGCTCCAAGCCCCTAATCTGCTTTGTGACCCTCTGCTGGACTCATGCCAGTGTATCCATTTCTCTCTCACATTGAGAGTGCAGCACTGGACACAGCACTCCAGATGTCTCACCAGAGCTGAGTAGAGAGCAAGGATCATTTCCCTCAACCTGATGGTAAACACCCTTCCTAATACAGCCCAAGAGGCTGTTGGACTTCTGTCATAATGGCACATCGCTGTTTTCTGTTCAACTTGGTGCCCACCAAGGCTTCCAGGTCCTTCTCTGCAAAGCTGCTTGTCAGCCAGTCAGTCCTTTGCATGTACTGGTGCACAGGGCTGTTCCTTTCTAGGTTGCAGGATGTGCCTTTGTTGAACTTCATGAGGCTCCTTGCAGCCCATTTCTCTAGCCTGTTGAGGTCTCTTGAAACAGCAGCACAACCCTCTGGTATATCAACCACTCCTCCCAGTTCTGTACAGTCTGCATACCTGCTGAGGGTGCAGTCTTGTCCCATCATCCAGGATATTAATGAAGAGGTTAAACAGTATTGGCTCCGGTGTTGACCCATGAGGTACACCACTAATTACTGGCTTCCAACTGGTTTGTGCCACTGATTGCAACCTTTTGAGCCCAACAGTTCAGCCAGTTTTCAGTCAGCCTCGCCATCTCCCTTATTCATCATTTTGTATGTGGGCGTGTAATGGAAGGTGGTGTCAAAAGGTTGGTCAGGTATGATTTCCCCTTCATAACCTATGCTGACTACTCCCAAATGGAATATCTTCTTGGCTTTGTGTGTTTGGAGATGATTTCCAGGATTATTTGCTGGGTCACCTTCCCAGAGATCAAGGTGAGGTTGGCTTGCCTGTAGTTCCTCAAATCTTCCTACTTTCTTTTCTTGAAGGTAGGATTTCTTTTATCTAGTCCTCAGAAAACTCCCTCAGTCACTGTGACCTTTGAAATATAATTGAGAATGGCCTTGCAATAACATAGACTAGCTTCCCTCAGCAGTCCTTGGTGTATCCCATCAGGCACCACCAAATTGTTCATGTCTAGTTTGTTTCCTAACCTGATCCTCCTCCATCAAGGTTGTCTTCCTTGCTGCAAACTTTTACGCTCATCCCGGGGTCCTGGGATTCCTAAAGACAAATTTTATCACTAAATTTGGAGTTAGGTACTTCCATGTATTAAATAGAGTGCACTAACCAATTACATTTAGAGATGGTTGCAGGTCATGTGTGTTGATGGGTATACATGTACAAAAAAAAAATTTGTATGTGAAAACTACATCTTGGGCCTGAGGAAGGGTATTAGTGTCTTCCTCTCCTTCCTGGAGAGGAAGTATAGTGCTCCTGGAGTCAGAAGAATAATGACTTAACAATTTATATCCAGAAAGAGGCGTTTGAGATTTACAGTGAACATTCTGCAGAGGCTGATCAACTAGCTGTAAATGTGTACTTGGTCATTCAGGCCACAAAATGAAACACATTGTTGCACTGGTTACACTATTTTAGCATTGGCCAACAGCCTTTCTTACATGTTTGTAATTGCAGTTAATATTTTTGAATTACTGCTAGACACATTGTTGTTACTTGTATTTACTTCATTATTTTTTAGGTCAAAGAACCATGGCTATCTCCTTCAGAAAGAAGGAAAAAAGAGGAACCTAGCCATCGGGAAACAAGGAAGGAATGTCTGCAGACCCCTTCACAGGGTCTAACAGGTAAAAAGATGCATATGCTGTTCTTAAGATGCATGTGCTCTTTTTAATGTATGTATATTCAGAGAGAGAGAAGATGATGACTTCAAATTTTAACTAATTTATAGCTCACTACAGCTGGAAGCACATAACAGACTTTTGCAGATTTTACAGTATGATACTCTGATTTTCTTAAATCTCTAAAATGTTTTGGAATTCTGTGAAACAGTTTTGGCTTAGTCTTTTTCAGTTTTCCATGGTTCAGGTTTCATTACCCATATGAAATATAATTTTGCAAAAGGCAAGATTGTTACATTTATTTGTTATGGAAAAGTAATTGATATATCAGAAGAATTTTTTTTACTACAGTCATTAAGTCTGTCACTGCTAGTAACTTGAGAGGAAATTAATTTAGTGTAATTTATTCCACCCTCTTCAAATAACCTACATATAGATCCTATGATTGGAGAATACTGTTTGAAGGAGATAGTGAGCCTTAAAGCACAACTTGAAGAACAGCATGCTCGAGAGCTGGAACACCTGTGGTCCTACTTCCGGCAGCAGCTGAAGGAAAGTGAAGAGAGGTACACTACAGAGATTGCCCGCCTGCAGGATAAGCTTCAGAGCTCTGGGGTATCCTCTGACCACACAAGGTATTAATTGGTTCTTTAATGCTTATAACTTTGCACTGCATACAAAAAAAAAGTGTTTCAAATAGCCATGCATGTAAAGCTACTTGTTTTACTTCAAAATTTGAGAAATTCTTTATCAACACATTACTGTTACGTTGTTTTGTTCCTTCAAGAGTTGAGTTACAAAGAAATGACATAAATATTGCCAATTAACTAATGCAGCATTTAGAATTTATTACATTTTTATAGTTAATAGAGGAAGATTTGACAATTGGAATAATGTATAAATGTCATTTCATATATATGAGCTTTTTAGCAGTAATTTCAAAACTTCTAACTCAACAGACCACTTTTAACCCTCAGAACTCCGGGCAATGTATTTTACATCTAAAGATACATTATGCAGATGTAGTTGCATGAAATTGATAATTTTCTAGAATGATATGTAGCAAGAAAATTTGCAGCAGAGTTGAGGTCCACTGGACACATTCTGGCTTTCACCTCATGGGTGATGGGATATACTCATCAGCCTCCTCCTGGCCCTGACCGTTGTGGCCATTCAAACCTGAAGGAGGTACAGGTGTCTAGCGGGGGATCCTGACAACTGTGGAGCCTCCTGTTCCCTGATTCTTTCACTGTCTCCTCAAATGTGTTTGAGGAATGGTGGCTGCTTTTGATTGTGCCATGTTCAGTGTCATCTCTGGTTTCCTGTTCTTCTGGTTTTGAGCCTCGTATTCCTTCCTTTTGTTTCATTTACTGTAGTACAAATGCACTCAGTTTCTCTGCATTTTTCTTTTATCTCAATCTCCCTTCTGTGAGAGAGTACTGGAGGGATTGTTGGTCAGACCAGTGCCCAACCGTTAAAGGGAAATGGGTAGACGCAGTGGCAACAAGAAAACCTACTAGAAAGGGGAGAAAATTGTCTAGCTGTTTTTAGAAATTGTTATATTTGAGATATTTGATATACTTACCACAGTACTCTCTTAAAAAGCAAAGACTGTGGGAGGATAAATCCTTAGAAGTTGGGAGAGGTGAAGATAAGTATTTTCCATCAACTGTGACCCATCAGAACCCAAACAGCTGTTTATCCTTTGTTTGATCACAGCCTTTTCTCAGCTATCTGTGTTTTTCTAACTTTTGAATAGTTTTCCTCTCATTCCTTAAAATACATTTCTAGTCTTGGAAGTGGCAAGTAAAATGCACTTGTATATACCTCTTACTCACTGAGGTGAGTAAGAGGTCCACATTCTGCCAATGTTTATGCATCTGTAAGACTGAGGCCATGGTTTTATTTTTTCCGCTATCTGCCTTGTAGAATCAGTACACATTTATTAGCCTCAGCTCAGTTTTAAGTGACTATGTAGCTTCTTAATTACTTTTTAGTCCTTTAAAAAAAGAAAAAATTCAAGCTATGAGCATTTTCAAAATGCATTTTGTGAAAGTGTATATAGTTCTGTATGTGTGTTGGCCAGAACAAGGTATAAATTTTCATATAAGATTTCTAAATTATTTTAAATGGGTAGTTAGTGTTCTGATTTCATCCATAATAACTATTCACCTAAAATACTCAAGGCTCATTTTACATATGTTTAATGAGCATTTATAGCGATTAGCTAACAGTATAAAAAAGATTTCCCATGAAGAGTTGCATTTTTCTCTCTCACATTCTTGTATTTCATACCTGAAGTTCAGGTTTTAAACATTAAAATTAAACTGGAGTTCTACAGGAGAAGTTCTTTGATCACTACTACCTAAATTGGTTTCTAATAACATGGTATGGAGGTGTGCTCATTACATCTCAAGCCTGAAGAGGAGTGTCTTTCAATGATGTGGTCAATATGTTGAATAATCTGTTACATAGTCAGTTTTCATCCCTGGTTTCTTGCTGCCTCTTTTAAACTAAGACTGAAGTAGGAGTATAGGTGTGGCCAAGCCTGAGAGTATTTTTGGGACATTTTCATCTCATTGTATAGCCTATTGCAACATCAAAAAAGGGAAGAAAAAAGGAAATCAGTTGCTACTGTTCATTCATCAGATCAAACATGAATCTTAAAAATAGTGCATTGCTTTCTGTAGTCAAAAGCTTTATAAGATTACCATTCTGGACTCCATTTCATGATTACCTAAATCAGCTGTCAGATTTAAGCAAAAGAAAAGCTTCATGGTCTCTGTAAAACCCTAGTGTAGTTGAGATTGTAAGTCTCACAGATAAACTTATCTTCTAACTGAATCTGGTTTATACGCTGTCTCTTAGCAAGGTATTCATTTCTTTGTGGTAGCAGATCACAAATACTAGAGGAAGTTTTTTTTTTTAGGTAGTTTGATACTGTATCTTATGCTTTTGGCAGTGTATTTCTGTTAAGTCTTTTTCAGTATGTAGCAAAAGGGGAGCTAGTTTTGGTGGTATGTGGTGGTGGTCTGGTTTTTACTGATTTATAGCTCTGAATATATAGAGCAGTTCTGTTGGAAAAGATGGTCTTTGAATGTATTTCAGCATGTTGTTACCTACATATAAAATGAATCATGTTAGATTTCATACTGTGTTCATATGTATGCCTCATCTGTATAACAGAAGACAGCAAGCAAGCAGTCCATCTGGTGATAAACATCAATTTAAAAGAAATATAACCATTTTGTAGGTGTTTTTATGGCGTCATATGCATAGCTATTCTGGTTTCTCTCATCCTTATGATTCGAACAGGTGCTTTTGTCTTCATCTTATTGTGTATAGTTATTGAGCACAAAATATTCTCAGGTAACTTTAAAAGTGGTTTGTGAGGTCCTTGGCAAAACTAGAGTTAAGGTGTTAAGCTGAGAGGAAGAGCTAGCATTTGGAAGGGAGATGAAGTAGACAGTCCTGTGTATGAAATTAATGGCATGCGAAAAGGTGTGTTCTGAAGAAACTATTTGCAGTTATTGATCTTTTGAATATATATTGCGTATGTGTATATTCATAGAATGTATATATGAATAGAGGAAAAATAATGTACATTGAATTTTATTTTATTTATTTATTTAACCCATCTGCTGCTTTTACCTTTTTAGTGTGTCCACAGATTCAGAAATAAAGCTAAATGAAATCTTCAGGAAGGTGAAAGGCACTGAAAGTCTTCGTCAGCAAAGAACAGATGAAGCACTGGAGGTATCGTATATCTCAGTTGACAGCAAATATATGTATGATCAATATAATTTAGATGCTTTGGGTTCTAAGGTGAAACTGAAGTATGGACTAATATTTGGTAGTTTCAGAGTAAGTATCATCTTAGTACTTTGTTATACTGTCAGACAGTCCATGTTAGAGGAAAAAGATTTAAATTTTGCTGAAATTAATTTCTGGAAATTATGAGTAATAAAACTTGCTTTATTAGTCCTGGGTTTAAATTGGTAGGCTTTTTTCTGTTTTCTTTTTGTTTGGGTTTGGGTTTTTTTTTTTCCTCCTGAAACAAGACATTTGGGTTTGGCTTCTTACTGAAGTGGGAGAAAATTAGTGTTCAAATTCTGGGATTTCTTCAGGAGTCTTTAAAAACCTGTGACTTTTTTGAAAGTTATGAAAGAAGATGCAATTAAGTGAAGTTGTAGTACTTTGGAAGTATAGACTGCACAGTTTAGGAGAAAATTTGCAAAAGTAACCCCAAAGATCTTAGAAACCAAATGCAAATGGAAAAGACCCCATACATACCTCCCCTAGTATGGCTGGAAACCTGGCTCAAAAATTCTGCGCTTTGGAAAACAGTGATGCTGGTTTGTACTGCGATCCTGTGCTTTCTCACCCATTTCTCTGCATTTGACAATTCAGATAGTGCTGGGAGAAGAGTTGTTGCAAACTCAACTTTAAAAATTTATTTTGAAGCAGAGACAAGTCAGTCTTTTACCCAGTTCTTTTATGTTGTGGTACAAAATTCTGTGGTTTACATGAAGTGAAGATAACCTAATTAAGGAAAAAATCTGTCAGATTGAAACTTTTAGAATTAATGAAATAAAGGCACAAATACATGATCTGGGATTTCATGGTTTTCTTACAGCTTGCTAGTGAAATTGAAGTGTGGAATGATCTGGATGTTGTTCAAGTGCTGGAAAAGCAGTACCAAGAAAGATCAGGAGAAATAGCAGAGGATTTATTTTTATTTTGTTACTTTAAAATATGTTTAAGAAATACTGTCATTTTCATTTGCTGTTTCTGACAGTTCAGTCAGTTGCAATGCCATGTGCTAACTTTTGTCTGATTTATTTACAAGGAGTTTTTTCTTTCGGAATCTTGAAGGGGAAAGTCTTAAAACAAAAAGTTAATTCTGAAACATTCTGTTTGTTTTTTTTTTAGTTGTCTGTCCTATTTCTAACTTATAATTTCTGTTCATGTGAGGAATGATGGTGGTGTTTAAAACTTCAAAGAAAACAGAAAACATGCAACCATACTTGATACTAGAATTTATTTAGAAAATCCAGAGGCTGAGTAGATTTCTGTTCCATTCAAAAGATTTTGCACTTAACAGTTGCACACTATCTTCTGATCATATTTTTTGTGCATTTTAGTATATTGTGTAAAATGCATAGATTTTATTTGGATCTAGTGGCTTTTTCTAAAATGTGAGAAGTAAAATTAAGGTTTTATAGGTATAGTATATTAAATTGTGGATTTACTTACTGTTTGACTTCCAAAAAAGTTTTCACTTCTTTGCAGAATGAAAAATCATCTCTGATTTCATTATATCATGGCATAATTAAAAATTGAATTAACATAAATTAAGAATTGGAAAAAATAAAGGAATACTTCTTAAAAAGCTTTGCCATCAAAGTTAAGAAGAGTGTTATAGCCAGCACTGGTTGATGACACTAAGTAATCCACATTTCTGAAGTTCCATTTCTCTCATCTGCAGCCAGGAAAACCCTTCTTTATGGGACAGCAAAGTACATCATTGGCTAGTGTTCTGTTAAGAGCAGTTTAAGTTTGAAAGATAAATTCATATTTTCTGGAAAGGAAGAGTTGGGTGTTTTCTTTTGAGTTATAACACTTCTGTATTTATTAGACTATTTTTTTCACACTTTTTGTAGCTTATGCTGTAAATGGCCAAATTCTAAATCTAGAAAAGGACTGCTCACATGATTGGAAAAGGGGTTTATTTGTATTAGAAGGAGATACTTAGCAATGCAAAAGTTACCAGCTGCTTGTAACTGCGACTGCAGCTATTTATTGCCAGTAGAAGTTTTTTTCTGGTCAAGCAAAATTCCTGTGCTGAGTGTCAAGCACATGGCACTGCTGTCTTTATACAGCCCAAAATTCCCTGTCAGTGAAACATTTACAGAGGTTGCTTGGTTAGATAGAGGAAACTTAGTACACCTGCACTTACATCAGTGTGACAGGACTTTTTAAAGTTGCCTTTTATAATCTTTTTTAAAAAGAGCTAGATAATTCTGTGCTAAATAATATATTTTAACTGAAAATAGTATCATACGTCATTAAACCACCTTAAATACGGCATGTCGGTGTATGTTGGCGAGATTGCCAAAAGGTCTCTGTTCTCTCACTTTTCTGTTTTCCTCTGGAGAACAACAAAAAAAAAAAGAACCATAGTTTAGAACTTTTAGTGCTTATATTTGTATTACTGATGGTCAGCAATGAGATTTCTTCAGCAATAGGAGATGCTGTGGAGCATAAACTAATAGAAGCTTTTCTTATTTGTTCAGGGAGTTGTGTCAATGGGTGTAGCATATGCCGAACAGACTGAATTGTCAAGAATGGCTAGGCAGAGGGAAGCAGCAGCACAAACACAGATTGTATGTCAACAGGGAATGCATTTTGAAATTAAAAAGGAATGTAGTGAAGAAGAGGTTGACAGCCCTCTTAGAAAATCAACAGAAAAAGGCAGTCATCGTCAAGAAGAATCGAAATCACTTTGCAAGGAACTCACTGAGGAGTCTGAGATCAACTCCCTTGGAGAACAGCTCCATTCTAAGAGCAAGCCTGGTTGTGTGTTAGGACAGGCCACGCATGAATCTCTGATTTCCGAAGAACGTTTTTCCCATGTCAAAGAAGAAATACTGGTAAGTGTTTAAAAAAAAACAAAACAAAACAAAAACAAATAAATTTAAAATATATATGTTTTTATTTTATATATGCATACCGGTCTGGTTTGTAGCACCATATCTGAATAATCTTTCCAATGGATTTACAGTGCATTTCATGAGAACTGCAAAGAAACAAATTAAGATGAAAATTCAGTTTAAATATTTCCCTTTCAAAGGGGTCACAATTTAGGTCTAAAGTTATCTACCCTTCTTTCCTGTGTTCTGCCTGACTATCATAGCATTATGCTATGCTGTGAGGAAAGGGATATGACACTGGTTACATGAAAATAGATTATTCCATTTCATGGATAAAACTATACATTTTATTGCCTGCAGTACAAAGACTTTTTGTAAGTGATGTTAAATCTATTGTTTCTACAAGGAACAGATTAAAAATAGTGCTTAATGAGTTTGAGTCCCTTGTGATAAAGGATATTAGCTGAACACAAGAATTGTGATAGTAGTATGTAAAATATATATTTAGCATTTCACAAACATGGGATGGGAGTAAGGGGGAATAAATGTGGTAAAAAGCAGTCATAACTTTTGATTCCACAATTTCATCCTAAGTTTAATTTTTTTTTATTACATTTGGCATTAGTTGAAACAAAAATTACACTTTCAAATTTGTGTAACAAATATTTTGATATTGTATTATCTTGATGGTGAATAAACTGTAATGTTGCTCGTTTGTATGATACTGCTTTCTCAAACTTCTGTTGTGGTACACGTACTCAAACACATGTATGTCTGCCTCTGTATTTTCTGTTGAGATCCCTGACAGTTAAAAACTGTAAGAGAGAACACTGTTCAGTTTTATTTTAAAAACTTGTCTTTTAAATGGACGATAATTCTAAACCTAATTCTAGACCTTCCAAGAAGCAGGAACAAGCTAATGCTTTCGTGATAGCTACTTTTAATTTGTGAAAGTATTTTCTAAAATTTATTTAAATATTTACTAGAAACTGCTATTGAATGTAAAATGCTAAGAGTTCCAATATTTCAGCTCTACAGTGATGTGACAGCAACAAACACAGAAACATCAAGTCAGCTGTTGTTATATGAGGAGCGTTTGGAAGACATGCGGCAGGAGCTAGTACGACAGTATCAGGAACATCAGCAGGTGACAGAATTACTGAGACAAGGGCACATGCAGCAAATGGAACGTCAAAAAGAAGATCAAGAACAACTCTTAGCAGAACTTGAGAGTCTTAAAGTGCAATTAGCTGAGGTAATATGGAGTTTGACTCAATAAGTTAACATGGGTTAACAAAGGGACGTCACCAGGCAGATTTATACTTATTTATACTTGTATCTCTCAATGTATAGATACACACACATATATATTTACTATATGCAGGTGTACACGCCCATGTACACACACACACACATATCTGTCTGTGTGTGTATATATACAAACACATTCATGTTGTACGTATTAAATGCATATTTCTTTAATCAGAGCTCAGGCAGTGATGGATCAGTTTAGACTCCTGTGAACCTGGAGAAAACCTGCAGTGCTGCACAGCAGCCAGAAGAGTGATTGAGTGCAGATGCGTTGTAAACCATGCCACCTTCCAGACACACGGCCCTGTGCAGGATGACGGCTGGCATCCATTTACATCAATGAAGCCAGCAGCCGTGGCTTGAAATACTATAGAATTCTTCATTTTTCCTCATCCCCATTTGAGGTCTGAACTCGAACAGTATCAGTGGCTTCCTGCAACAACATGTTTTGGCTCTTTTTTTTTTTTTTTTTTTAATTAAATCGAGGGAAATGAAGTCCTTACTAACTCTTAGAATGAAACAAAATCTGTGGAGTTTGGTGGGAAACACCACCATTTCTTTGCCTTTTTAAACTTAACTTGCTGTCACTCTGTATCTATTCAGAGCCTATAATAGGTATGCTAGTGAAAGTCACTATTTTAATAAGTCTTCAAAAATTGTCACTTATAGGCTCGTCTTCTTCAAGGATTCCTTCCCTTGAAAGACAAAGTAAACAGAATCTGGAAGAATTTATCTTGCTCTGGTTTTATTTCAACAATGTAACACTGCGGAAATGAACATGTAATCAGTAATCAGTGAGTTCTAAAATTCTTTGACTTCACTGTGGAGTGGAGCTTTACGTTCCTTCAGACCTGAACCAAACCTGGTTCTGTTATGTTTAAGTTTGAGCTGAAGGAGCTGGGGAATCTGGAGAGCCAGTCACTTGTGTCTTAGGTGTTTTTTCCAGCAGTGTCAGGGGTCTGTTTCTCCTAGCTGCTTTGTAGGTGTCTTTCCACCATTTATCCTGATAATCTTTTTATTTTGTTTTCAATATATACGTCCTTTCTCCTTTTGCCTCTGTCAGTTTGGAACTGTGTATTTCATCAGGGGTTGCAAATCCCTGAAACTGATGAAAAACATTAAGTAGAACTTATGCTGCTGGCTTTTCTCCAGTTTTTAAAGCCATATCTTATCCGTAAGAACTGCCTAGGAACATATGCATTGCGTTTAAGCTATGAACACTTCTAGCTCTTCTAAAAGAATGTGCGTGTGTAGGCTTTTTATAAAAATAACTTATTTTAATCTTCTGGTGCAAAACATGTACTATAGCATGTAGTATTTAGATATTAACCTTCCAGTTTGCATTGTGTGTTTCATAAAGAGCATTCAAATTGTGTGGAAGTCTTAAAGAAGGTGTAAGATACCAAAAGTATTGTAGTTGCATTCCATTCTAGAAAGCTTTCAGAGTCTTTGTAACAATTTTAAAGAAGTGGACTGAAATTTCGTTGTGCAAAATGTGTAAAAAATTAGAAGTGACAGGACTCACTAATACTCAGAAGCTTAAAAAATTGTGTGTGCCCCATAATGCTTCTTTCTTAGCGTGCCTCAATGGATAACGACAGCCTGGTTGCAGAGAGAGAGAGAATGCTTTTAGAAGAACTGGAATCATTAAAACAATATTCTGTACCTGGAAAAGAGAGGCTGTTTTGTGAGCTACAAAACAACAGCACACAAACAGAGGTAAATGTGGACTTTGACTTTCTTGGCAGCTGTGGCATGTAAAACCAGTAAGAATCTTTTCTGTGACTACTATTTTTATGTAATATCTTTTCCTAAAAGATGCTGGGTATTGCTTGAAAAGAGCAGGTTTAAGAATAGTTTTTCGCTTCAGGTAAGCAGAAGCTAGTTTAACAGCTTGAGGGTGGGGATTATTACTATAGCTCTTTGCTCAGGTAAACACACATTTTCATATTGCTATAGCAACACCAAGAGAAAGCACAAGGACTGTTTAATCAGCATAACAAAGTTCTTTCTAATTGGCCCTGCCTTGGATTTCCTGGTTTGCTTCTATTTATGTTTTAGTTAATTTTTCCACATAGGAAGAGTATTTCTTGATTTGTGATTTGGTGTAAAAGTTTTATTACCAAAACACAACTAATTTAGGTTTTAAATTTCATATTCTACTGCGTATAAGAAGAATATGTTGATTTTGACATGACAGGATTTCTGTCCTTTTTGTCTTCTCTCCCTCTGCAAAAACTTACTCAGAATGAAAATGAAAACCAAAACAATGCGAGAGAGCAGATCTTTGAGGATGAAGATACAGGAAGGAAGTCTGAGACATCTTCAACTCTTCTTTCTAAAGAAAGGTACTTAAACTGTTAATAAAACATTTTTTTTTAACAAATGTTGAGACTAGTGTTCTTGTTGTTAAATTAATATTTAGAAGCTTTATTCTGACTGATAGTGGCATTTTTTATTCTAGATAACCATATTTCTAATTTACACACTAGATTAAACAACGTCTTATTTTTTGTAAAGCCTGCCGATGTAATGGCCTGGAGGATGAGACAAATCTTAACGTATTTTACTATGTCTTTCATATTACAATCATACAAAATCATATACATCACTTACACATACGTGTGTTTGTATACCCGTTGTACGTACATATTTGAAATAAGTTTATATGAATATTTGATAATACCTTTTGACTCTAGCTTTTTTATCTGTGTAGAACAATCTTTTTAATTGTCACTTTGAGAAAAATAGTAAGTTTCTAATGAATACTAGGCAAATGTAGACTTCTGTCTTAGAAGAACAACTAGATTAAAAAACAAGATAAAAGTGCAAGTATTGATAAATAGTTTGGCTTTTTACGTATTTTGTAAAAAGAACTGACTTTTAGCACAAATGTACTTTTAATATTTATCTACATGATGTGAGTTTTAGTCTTAAAAAAGGAATCCTAATTTTACTGTTGCAACTTCAAATCTTTCCTGGTTGCAAGGGTGTGTAAGGAATAAAACCACTTTAAAAGCAGGGAGAAATCAATGCACCAATGATTTTGTCCTGCAGGCATGCATTTCAGAAGGCTAATGAGAAACTTATGAAGATTGTTTTAGAAGTTGTGAAGACAACTGTGGCCGTGGAGGAGACGATTGGTCATCATGTTCTTGGGTTACTGGATCGGTCTGGGAAGGTCCAGCCTTCCAAACCAGCTGGATGGGACACAGAGAAAGAGGAGTCAGTAAAACCCTGTATCCATGTGGGGTATGAAAAAGGTACTGCTTGTGTGATTTCTCTATTTCAGTAACAGGTCACATTTGCATAAATAAACTTAGTTTTGAAATTTTTAATTAAAAATAAACTTTTTTGAAAACTATTTGTGATTTGACTGCATATGACATCTCTGCTTAAGAGACGACATTTCGCGAGTTGTCTGGGTCGTGCCTCAAACAAGTTATGACGCATGTCTAGGGTCCTGTTGTAAAGCCTACAACAGAATGGGAAAGTGATTGAGAAATACAAAAA